TTATTATTGTCATCTTAAATTTATGCAACAGTCTGACCTAAATCAATTAATTTCTTAGAAGGGAAGAACATTGTTAAACAAATGAGTCATAAACATTACTGTATTGTGTAACTTAGTGAGGAAATAGTTTCAGAATTGGTTGCGAGTTGCTTAATTGTGCAAATTTTATTTTCTTGTTTCGTCATGATTGAGCAAGTTTTATTTATTTTAATTATTTTTCCAAATAAAAAGCACACATCACATTCTTCCACAAAATAGATACTTGTCTAAGTGAATTCTTTGTCTTGGTCCAAGTTTTTGTTGTTGAATAATTCACAAGTTCTGACTGCTGGCCGCAGAGACATCCTTTTGTTTAACCTGCTGAGGTGTTGTGTTTGGAGCATTACAAAACTAGTTTAAAATCAAATAGACATTAGTGCATGTTAAAGGCAYGTAAGCAAAACTGTAATGTAGTGTAAATAAATGTTTTTTTTTTGTTTGTTTTTTACATTTGTTGATTTCAATTCAAATGTCACTATTGGCATCTTTTGCATTTTTGTTCTCTTTATTAGCATTCACCTGGAGTTAAATATCAAGTTGGCCAAACACCCTTTTAGAATTCAGCTGTTCTATGTGACATTAAATAAATGATCCTGTGAATCAGAGAAAAGACAACTTTTATTTTCTTAATTCCATGAATCCTCTTTCAATTAAGTAGGGCTAAGAGGTAAAAATTTACTTTCAGATGCATCAGATTGCAGAAATAGGAGATCGTGAATGAGTTTCAAATGTCAAAAATTGCCACTGTAAGAGAGTCAGTAGACCTGTTGCTGCACGGTGCTGTTTGCCCTAGTAGACTTGCCGTAGTAGGAATATGTTGCAGTAAAGCCTGAAGAATATATTGCTGTAAAAATAGTTGAGGTTATTATAATATGACTTTAAAATATTTGTTGTTTCCAGTGATAAATACAATGATAATCATGTTAGCCTTTTCTTGGTATTTTCAGTGTTAAATTAACATCTGTTCTACTTCTTGGTCATCAATAGGGGTTTTAACATATTTTGTGAATGCATGAAAGTGCATACATTTGTGTTTGTATATGCAAAAAAATTGTTTAGGATTCAAAATAACTGAAAAGCATCCATAATCGTTTCATAATCATATTGCAACCTTCTGATTTAGACTTAAACATAAAATGGGTAAAAAGAAATTTAATGTTAGAGTTAGTTTTTCTGACTCAATTTAATAACTGACRTGGGAATAAAATGCTAAAAAATCACAGCCACAGTTGGAATCACTGTTAAATTCTAATTTTATGTTTTGACATACTGTGTGTTAGTGTCACCGTGCAGACAATGGCATATTTAAATCAATGATTGAAAAAGTGGTTTATTAAATTACAGTTTTCTTTCWACAAGGCTCAATATTTAACCTTAATACTTGGAGATATGTCATTTTTATTAAGAGTTATAATTYGAATCACAACAATGCTAGTGAAAAACAGTGTACTTTTGCAGTGGTCTTCAAAAATAGCATTTTTTTAAATCTCACTTTTGCTGACTTTTGAACTGTCTTGCCCTTTTCTTTTTTCCACTCATCTCCCATTTCCTCAGTGTCTTGCTGTCTCTCGAACAAAGTGATAAGAGTAATAATCATGGATTCTCTCTGGTCCACAGCACAGTTTCTGAGCTGGAAATGATTGACAGCGAGGTATCGTCACAATGGAATCAAATCAGCTCTGACAGTGTGTCAACTCAGCTGAGAAATTTAATTTGGGATGATTTGTAAACGGCAATGCAGAGGACATCACAATTCTCACATAGTTAGGCTCCAGAATGCTCTTCAAGGWGCAGGAGGAGGTTGTTGTTTCTCTCTCACTCATAAATCAAATCTGGTGAATTCTTGTGTGCAAAGTGAGATAAACCTCAGGCTGTTTTTCATTGTCGCCGCACCGATTTGTAAACATTTATTAAGTTTTTATTTTTTGTAGGCTGCTTGTGTTTGGTATTAATCCAGCTGTGAGGAAGTCCGGCATTGTTTAGTGAGGTGTATTGGGAAGAAAAGGTGGCTCAGGAGACTCAGTCCTGAATAATTTATTGAGGGGGCGGAGAGCCCTCTGCTTGCAACGACTTCTTTYGCTGGAACTTCAAACGGCGAAAGGTTTTCCCATCTGTTTCAGCTAGAACACATTTACATTTCCTCCCCGCAAGGGACACTGGAGGACGTAGTTGGCTCTTACTGGATTTAAATATCACTCTCCAAGGTTAATAGCCGTTTCTGTWGCTGATGTGGTGCTTTGGCTTTTTCAATAATTTAGAATGGCTGCAGTCATTAGGAAAAGTTCCCAACCTCTAAAATGGAGAATGTAGTGAGCTTTACTGAGTGAGACTTTACTACCAGCTTAATGACTTCTGTTGTTCTGGTTTAGAAAATGAGGGAAAACTACAACTGGTTCCAAGTTGTAGCTATAAAATATGATTTTCATTATTTTTGTTGTTAGACTCAGTCATAACCCCTTATTGTTACAGTGACCTGATTTCAGGCTTTAGCCATTTTCTTCAACTTATACCCCCATTAACTTTACAGACTTCTTCCTTTCAGGGTCACGGGGGGTCACTGGTGCCCATATCCAACAGTCACTGTGGTGCGGGGTACACTGTAGTCAGGTTACATCCATCACAAGGCCACAGAGAAACAACATGACAAACCATTCACWCTCTGAATCACACCTAGGGACAATTTTGAATTACCAAGACTAACATTCCCATTGTTGATCCATGGAAGGAAACCAGAGTACCTGGAGAAAACCCATGCATGCACAGAAAAACATGCCAAAACAGACAACTGTGCCACAGTAAACCATTTAACCAAATATTTACCTCAGTTAGTAAAATCAGTGCAGAAACATCCATGATGTGTTCTTAAGCTCTAAACTATCCCCAACAATTGTATCCTACTTTCAAAGGCATTAAATTGACCTTTTCAGTTTGTCTTTTTTGGTGAAGCATTTAGTTAAGTGGTGAAGATATATTTATATATATATATATATATATATATATATATATATATATATAAAATTAGTAAATAACTACCTTTTTGAAGATAGGCAGATGAAGGTTCTCAGTCATCCAGGTTATTATCAATTAAAAAAAGGTTAAAAAACAAAACAACTGAACTTGTAATCTGAAGCTGAGGGTGTTTTGCTTCCTGTTCAGGAAATTTTCTCAATTCGATGGCTGTGTATCATCATGAGTGCGCATTTGTCGACTGCATACGTCACTGCCCTGTGCTGAGTRCTGTCCCAATTCTAAGGCTCTTCCTAATGCGGCCGAGGAATGCGGGCCACAAAATCTCGAAAATCAAGGATACATCTGAGTATCCTTATCAGCCGAGGATATCCCAGGATTCAATGCACGGACAGCAAACTAAACAGAGAAACAAAGACGGTTGAGTTTTAATTTTTTTACCACGTCGACGTAGTTTGGAAATTGATCACGGACCGAAAAAGTTGTTTTAAAATGTAAGTTTAGCAACTTAGCTGATGAAATTAGTGCCTCAATAAGAAATTAAATAAAATACAGCTACAAGTACTGATACTGGAGCTAAACCCAATTTATTAATGTTTTTTAAATTTATATGTAACATTTTAATTGTGAAKTTATTTTTTCAGTGAAATGACATGTGAATACATGTCCCAACGTATTTTAGGTTTAATATGAAACCARTCACTGTGGTAGCTGGGTAGCATGTGGTCACACAAACATACATCAAGCGAAGGCTAGAACTTCTTATTTCATAGCAGTTTCATGCAGCCCCGGACTGGGAAAGGATGTGGTCCAGGTGGGCTACGTGCTCATGAGGATTCAGCCAATGAATTGAGACACAGCCAAAATGTCGAGGGGTGAGTACTTCYAGGTTAAT